AATTTTTTTTTTTTTTTTAACTTTTATTTAAATTTTATAAAATATTTGACAGTTATATTTGGTGAAATTGGCTATAGCCTGGGCTTGCGTTGAATATAAAAATAGTTTTTAAAAGAAAAGAGAAAGGCATTGGGAACACTCAACGGTTTTTAATAACTTCCGCCATGTTTGTAATAACTTTTATTTTATTGAATACCCGAAACCCACTTTTTATTGCCGCTAGCAGCTGAATAAATCAATAATCACAATTATTTGTGCATTGTTGCCAAAAAATTGTCTCATTTGCATGATGCAATTTCTTGAGGCCAAAGCTAGTAATTAAGCCGGCATTTGGCAGCAACAGAAGATTGTCCACTTAATTCGAAAGGAAGCGAAAACTTTTTTATTAGCTCTGCAATTCCTCCGTCTTTTCTCCTCGGCATTTCAATTCCCCGAACTTTTTTATCAGACCTTTTACAGTTTTCCTACTTAACTTTACGTTCGCTTGGCCCTCGTTTTTTCCACCGCTTGGCAGGTGAGTGCAAGGGACGGAAGGGAAATGAAAGACGGCAATTAATGTTAAGCTCTTGGCACGGCCCAAAGGATAGTTGAGCATTTGGCGGGGCAAAAAAAAAAAGAACAAAAAAAAACAGAAGTGCAGCGAGGGAGGGGATTGGTTTTAATTAGGAAAAGTGTTTTATACTCCAATAACATTATGGTAAGCTTTGCAGGATTGAACCCGGAAGACTTGGAGCTCTTAAAAAATGCAAAAATTGAAGTTTAAATTTTGTGCTTTAGAGTGAAAATCAATGAATTTCTTTTAAAGTACTATTTTTCACAGGAACGCCCACAAATGCGGACAAAACAGAACGTATTAATTCAAGTTATTAAATTTCCACCACCGTACACCACAAATAAAATAAGCTTCAATCTACAAAAAAACCATTAAATGAATTTGAATAATAATTATACCGCTTATTGCTGTTAAATAAAATGTTGATTTATTTATAACAGCGTTTGAATATTTGTTTTCAATTTATAGATTATAAATTTCAGAAGGGATATTCATTATCATTGATTGCTTTTTGTTATTTTTTGAATATTTATCGATTTTTGACCGCCATTTGTTCATATATCTGGTCAATAGTTAAAGTTGTCAGCATCAAAAACTTTATTATTCATTTTCATTGGTGGAAAGTGGGAGCCATTGGCCATTTGGTATTTATCTTTGTTTACCATACTTTATGCTTGACTGATTTCCCCATTAAGTATGACTATTTTCTTCCCAGAAATATTTTTTATTATAACAACAGACAAACAACAATAAAACTACAGATACGAACGCAGTTTTAGTATTTTTATTCTTCACGCATTTTGCTTATTGTCTCCACGAAACTGTTTTTAAGTCCCATACCCGGTGTTGCCATGATTTTTAGTGGGTAAACAAGAATTTCGATGCGGCATAATTTTCCCACCACCTTGTCCTCCTCGCGCGGGTAATTTGTTTTTGACGCATTGCTGATAACGACGCCGATGATGATGTCATAATTTTATTTCGCTATTCCATTGCCCGGGCTAAAAGTCAAAACAAAAAGCGTTTAAATTTCAACGATCTATCCGCATTCGATGTAATTTGCATAATATTTTAATTTTGCATACTTATTGGCGCATAATTAGGTGGTTAAGTCCGCGGGTGTGGGCTTTGTTGTTTGACTTTTAGTTCAATATTTACCAAAGAAAAAATTTCAAATTTAATTTGCATAGATGAGAGAGTAATTGCAAGGAAGGGGCTGATTATTCTACAAGTTATAAAATCTAGACGGTTCTTTTTTATTTCTTTAAGATTCTGCTGGTTGCTTTTTAAATGTTTTATAGAAAAAAGCCGTTTTTCTAAGAAAAGTGCATATTTTCTTTGTCTTGCCCGTCAAATATTAACAACTCTCTGGTATTTTGTACAGTCTACCCATTTAGTGGTAGTCTCAACCTGTCCCTTATTTATTTGGTTTTTTATTTACCCCTTGACCGCAACGGCAAAAAAACTCAAATGTACATACGCGCATTTTAATGGACTTCGCGGAATACTCAACTTCAGAACATCCACTCCTGGTAAAATCGGATACACATGCACCCATTCCCAATTGCAAATCGAACGTACGTTTCGGGTGCCACATAATGTTTGTCTAAGATCCATGGTGTCCCTTGATTTTGTGGCGTACTGAAAAAATATTTCTGAGGGGCTTTACTAATTCGTTTATCGTATTTCGATAATCTTTGGTCAAAGACGGACAGTTTCGAATAGCTTTTTAAAGATATTTTAATCAAATGTTGCAGTTTTAAGTGGTTTAATGAAATCCCCTCCAGTACACCCCTGTCCAGATAAAAAGGTCTGGTCTGGGCACAAAAACCCAACGAAACGGGGTACTTTTTTTTCGCAATCCCGCCACCCAACACAAACACTCGAGTTGCTGAGCGTTGCCGGATATTGGCTTCATACACCGCCAGCCAATTTTAAATTGCCAATATTGATTTATACGCCGCATGCGTTGCTGCCACATGGGGTACAAAAGCCAAGTTAGGGGGAGTTCTGAAGCTGGAGCTGGAGCCCAGGTCCTCTGAAGCATTGTTAAGTTGCAATTTTGCAGGTGGTGGCCGGGGATCCATTGCCAAAGATGGACGTGGGGCCGAAGTAAATGGGCATGGGATTTCACGTAGTTAACGCTGCCAGAATTTATTGGCCAGGCTTTAATAGCTGCACTCGCATGCAATGCAAATGTGGTTAAATGTACACGGTGAACGGACTTAAATGCAAAGATATTTACCATTCATTTATTTTTGATATGCCAATAGAGGATATGAATATTGAAAACATATGTAACCGCAATTTTAACTTTAATTTATTATTTCTTTTGAAACATTATCAAGTTTTTTGCTGTGTACAAGCTTATAAAGGACATAAATATTGAAAATATATGTTGGCCTTATTTTTACCTTAAATTTAATGTTTATTTTCTATTACAGTATAATATTTCTTTCTGTGTACGCACTTATAAGCTGCATAGCATAGGCGAGCATCCTCAAATATAATATTACTTAGCTTAAATGCAATTGGATATGCTATCAAAGCGAAGAAAAAATGATTTTCCCATTCGCCATCCCCTTTTAATTTCGCATGCCCATCTCTTTGCTCGGCTTCTGATTTCCCAAATCCCATTTAAGAATTCCCTTTGTGGGAGTCAGGGATACCCAGAACTCAGACTTGCCCACAACAGTTGAACACACTCCTTTGCATAATTCATGTAAAAAATTCAACACAACTCGAATTTGAGTCCCAGTGTGTTGGTTGTTTGTTTGCTGAGAGCTGTTTCGGATCCTGCTGCCGTTGTCCTTTTTATGGGGGCAATCGACATGTGCTTTAAGTGCTGCGATGCCGGCAGATAGATGAGAATGTGTCAAATGAATGTGGCCCGGTTAACCAACTGACATGTCCTGTTCATATATTCATAGGAGGTGCTTTACGTTAAAATTAAAAAATAATAAACTAAAAATAAAATACTTTGATATCATAGCTTATCTTATGTATATCTTAAGTATATGAAAACTAAAATATATAATTATAATATTTTAGAACATGCTTTTGCTTATAGTTTCTTGGGTTCAAATTCAACTGTTGTGGTTTACTGGTCAACCTTTTGCAACTATTACCTTTTGCAGGCTGGACCTGGGCAATTAAAAAAAAATTAATTGACCGCTTCCATAATGAACGTCATTATAAAACTGTCAACTGCATTCTGCAACTGTATTATGGCCAGCTCTGACACAAAACGATATTTATACCCGTTACTCGTAGAGTAAAAGGGTATATTGTATTCGTGCAAAAGTATGTAACAGCTAGAAGGAAGCGTTTCCGACCCTATAAAGTATATATATTCTTGATCAGGATCACTAGCCGAGTCGATCTAGCCATGTCCGTCTGTCTGTCCGTCTGTCCGTATGAACGCTGAGATCTCGGAAACTATAAAAGCTAGAAGATTGGCATTTTGCATGCAGATTCTAGGAGTTCCTACGTAGCGCAAGTTTGTTTCAAAAAGGTGCCACGCCCCCTTCAACGCCCACAATCGCTCATATACGATTTAAAAAATTTAAATATTTCGGAAAAGTAAAAATTCAGTTTTATTGTGTTTATCAATACCTATCGAAATGTAGAAGAAATTTTTCAAATCGGACCATTCGTTAAAAGGTTATGCGTGATCAAAGTTTCTATCTCCATCTCCCTCACACTCCCTTTACGTGAGTAACGGGTATCTGATAGTCGTGGCTCCCGACTATAGCGTTCTCTCTTGTTTTTTACTTGCTTTTACAATAATTGATTTTTTTAATACACCATAAGAATTTTTGTTTTCATTGCGCCCAAAGTGAATGCTTTAGTGCCTTTAACAAGTATGAAATTAAATAGCAACCTTAATGAATTTTCGCATTTAAACCTGGCCACAAACAAAGGGGAATTAAAAAAGCAAGTTCCGACATTTAAATTTATCATAAAAATCATATAAAATTCCTCTTAAAAAGGATAATCATAGAAAACGAAGGCGATCAAAAAAAAATTAAATGTTTTATAATAGGTGAAAACATAATTACTTTCGCAGGGTATGTTGGTATATTGGTTGTTGATTGATAAATGTGTTCTCTGTACAAAATAAAGTTCCGCAGGCTTAGGCTGCCTCAACTTGTTGCAGCAAACAGCGTTATTAATGCATAGCGGCAAATTTGATTTATAAATATTTGTCTTGCCCCTGGCTAAAAACGAACCAAAAGAGCCAAAAAGGGGCGTCGTAAAAATAACCAAAACGGAAAATGGTAATTTATTTTCCATTAAATTTAATTTGCATGGTTTTAGGCGCAATCCGCTTCCGCCTGATCCTTGGCTCCCACGGCTGTGGCCTGAATTTCATTTAGCGAAAAATATGCTTTTATTTTCCCCCCACAATTTTCCACACTCTTGCTGAGGATATTGGTATTTTTACCAATTTTGCTTTAGTTTTAAATATTTGTATAATTGGATAATGTTACTAAATAAGTTTTTAAATTATGGTACATTACTTTACAATTTCACGACTAAGTTTCTCCTTAGCATTTTGCATTGACCTTAAAGCCATCTGAAGACTTTAACCTTCCGGTCGTTGAAGTGATTTGGTGAACAGGAGGAGTCCATTGCATTCGCATCGCCATGGAAATTGCTGCAGTATTAGGGGTCTGGCATTGTCTTTACCACTGCGGAAAGGAGCATCGATACTGTCCTTTATTCCTGCCCAGTTCTCAGTCCACAGTTCGCGGCTCCGCCTTTATTGTTATTTCGCCTGCATCATTATTTCAGTTGGCGCCTTGGCACTGGCCGTGTTGTAAGTGGAGCCCCAGTTACCAGTGGCTGCTCCTTCCCGAGTCCTTTGGCATTCTGCGGAGCTGCTTCTGCTGTTGTTGCAGATAAAGATAAATAGTCTCAGATAACGCTCAGTTATTTGCAAACAAATACAATTGCGGTTCATTGATGGCGGTTTCATTTCGCCATCCACCGAAGAAGTAGTCTGATTGGGGAAATGGGTGTGGATCTGGTCTGGCCCATTAATTTGTGGCTCTTGAATGGCGGTTAGTCCGGGTAGTCGAGGCTATTCAGATTCACATCCTTGAGCACAAATTTGTCGAACGTGTAACTGATGAACTCAGCATACCATCTGCCAGCAATACCCAGCCATTTCTGTGGGGATAACAAAACTACTTGAGAGGATATTCTGTGAGTAAGGGTCGATGCATACATATTTTGAATAAATTATTGAAATACATTAATATTTAATTTTAATAAATTTTTGTAAAAAGATAATTTAAATTCAGTTGTTATTAAAAATATATAAATATACATTTTAAAAACTACACTGCCTTATATAAATTACTTAGTATATTTCACTCATAAGCTTTGCCTTTACATTGAAGGTCTTACCGAAGTTGGTTTGATTATTAGTTATTAGTATTAACATTTTCATATATGAAAATATTAAGAAAGTATTTTGTATCCCTCCTTATTGCTTACCGCAATGTTAAAGGAACTTTCCGGGGAGACGCCCCAAATGCCATGTGTCACGCCCACAACGAACGCCATCAGGGGCTCATACTCGTCCTCATCGACTATATACTTAAGGACATTTAAGGCGGTGCTCCAGCTGATTAGCTCGTGGTTCCACAGGAAAAATATATCGCTGACGATTTGGGCTCTGTTAAGGACGTGAATGCTGCGGAAGTCATCGAAAAGCGTGGTTGCCAATAGCTGCCAGGTGAGTTCGTCATAGTTGACCCTGTAGTAGCCAACGGCCCGGAGATTGAGAAGGATCCAATGGTCTTGGGGCACATCCTCCTCCAGTTGTACGCTTTGATTTTGTGCACTGAGCCAGGCCCTCGGCCTGAGGTCTCTGGAGGAGGCCTCGTTTTGGATGAAGTAAGTCAGGGGAATCCACCAGAGCTCAGTCCTGCTTCCATTGAGGGCGTGGCTTTGGACCAGGACTACCTTACTCCCCTTTCTGATAACTGTGACCAGTGGATATCCCTTCTGCATGATCCACGTGTCCATAATGCCCTTTACGTTCCAGTTCTTGGTCTCGAAAGACTCCCTTTCACTGGCCAACTGCAGCGATCGCCAGAAGAGATCGGGGGTACTGCTGGCGAAGGAGTTCTGCCACAGGTGCCGCTGGAGTCCGTCGTAGAAAGTGGCGTTGCCCAGGAAGCCGTTCACCATGCCCATCAGCGAGGTGGCCTTCTGGTAGAGGTGCTCCTCCGACTCTGGACTGGCGGGCGGGAAGAGGGGCACCAAGGACATGCCGGCCACCTGCGATTCGTACATGAAGGCCATTTCGCGATGGCGCAGAAGCAATCGACGACCCATTCCCGGCTGCAAATGATCCACGGCGAGGGCCTCAAAGTAGCCGGTTAGACCCTCCTTCAGCCAGAGATCCGACCACCAGTCGATGCCCATCAGATTGCCGAACCACATGTGGGCCATTTCGTGAGCAATCAGCAGGAGCGCCTGCATTTTGGCCCTCGACATTGGGCCATCCTCGCGTTTAAGGATCTCCTTGCTGCGGTAGACGACCAGGCCGAGCTGTTCCACGGCGGAACTGGGGAAATTGTCCACCACCAGCTGGTCGATCTTGTCCAGCGGCAGGCGCACCTGCAGCAGCTCATCCAGGAACGTGAGCAGCTGGGGAGCCACTTCGGCGGCAAAGGAGGTCTCACGCACATCAGCCGATTTGGAGCAGGTGCGAAAGCGGACAGGATATGCACTGGCCGCCTGGGTGAATCGACAGGTGAAGTTGTTCACTGATAAGGCCAGCAAATGGGTGGGCATCAAGGGAGTAACCTCATGCACGGACCACACGTAGTCCTGTAGTTCATGGCTATTAAACCGGTTAAATTATTAGGGACTAAGAGTACAAGTGGGGGATGCTTTACTAACTTGGGCAGCACAGCACGGACATTCATGTTGCTGTAGCTTTGGAATCGCCTGTGATGGCCCATGGTCACATTAAAGGTGGCCCTTAAGGCGGGCTCATCGAAACTGGGCATGGTATTCCTAATCAAGTTCCGATCGAAATGAGAGACGGAGTACCAACTACAAAAAGTGGAAGATTAGCTTTCATCAGGATAACAGCAAAATGCAATATTTACATTTTCTCCGAGGTCCTTGCATTCACATAGTGAAGTACAAAGTAACCATCCTTCTTTTCCTTCGACATTGATCTACCGAATGCAATAGTTAGTATATAGGACTTTCCCATCCTTAAGGACTTGTCGAATGTTAAGACCATATTTGCCCGATCTTTATTGAACATGACATTCATTAGCTGATAATCCGACGCCTCGCCATGCAGCCTTATTTTCTGGGCTTCCACAAAAATATTGGCCACATGGAGCACCAATTGATTGGTATTTTTTTGAGCATGTAGGGAAATATTCACGGAACCATGGTAACGCAGGTTGGACGGGCTATCCAGGTAAGTTATTAACCTTATGTCGTAGTGAAAGGGCGTGATAGTTGTCGGTAAACGAGACTCATTATAGAGCGGAACTTTAACGGAGCTTGCGACTTGAAATACAATCAAAATGACTAAAATGCGCAACAGAGTAATATCTTTCTTGTAGACTTCATTAATACTAGATAACCATATTGGCATGCTGAATTAAAAGACTCGATTTCAGGACTTTTGGACAAAACGCCGAAAAAATAGTAAAAATTTAAAATTTTTAAACAAACAAAAGTTTTTTGACAATCTAGCAAAGAAACATTAGATTAATCTTTCTGTCGATATAAGTTGTATTTTTAAATTTTTATAATTATAAAATAAAAATAAGTTTTAAACATGATCACTTATTATTATTTAAAAATACTGAATATGGTTGAGTGTTTCAATGTCTATTTTAAGTGTTTAATTTTTGTTTTCAAAAACATTTTAATAATCATTATTTTCGGTCCCTGTAATATTTATAAATAACATTCTCAGTTGTCTGTTTTATTATATATTTAAAATTAGGTAAAGGTAATGGGTTATGATAGCCCCAGTACGCTTGAAATAAAAGGAAAGAAAGAAATGCATAAAAGGAATTAAATTCAAAACGGGTGTTATTCAATGACCATTTTAACTGAGGGCAGGGAGTCTAGATTTTCTGGATGTGAAAAGAGGTGCGACCAGTAAAAGTAACATTTCCAGCTCGACTTGGCAGCGTCTTGACTTACTTTCCAGCTTTCACTTGCGAGGTGGCAGAAGTTTTGCAACTTTTCGCGTTACGTGCGTTTCCCGATTTGCTCATGTATCTGTTTGCATCCGTGTGCGAGTGTGCGAGTGTTGGTGCGTGTGTGGGTCCTGCGCCAAAAAAGTATGTTAAGCACTTTGCTCCCAGTTTGCAGGCGCACTTTTGGGCCCAGCAGGACCCTCGAACGCAAACGCATACGCGTACGTTTTCGGATCTGGTTTGCGATTTATACGTGCATGTAATATGTGTAATTTATGACTGACGGGATGTGAGCGCTTAAATTATGTGCAAAATGCTCACCAAAGCCTCGCTGGCTTTGGGAGGCTAACAAACTTTTACTCAAAACTTTGCCACCAGTCCCTCCGCGAATATCAAAATATTGACAGTCACGTGTGGATTAGTTATTGGATTTGGGTTTAGTAAGGGGATTTTTATTTCGCAACGCTGTGCTTCATCGATTTCTTTATTTACTAGAAAGGAAGACCAGCCTCGGCTTGTCGAAGTTTATATACCCTTGCACTTTTTGCAAAGTTTCATCCAACTAGCTTTAAAACTGAGAAACTAGTTTGTGAAGGTTCGGAAAGACGGACAGATGAACCTAGACATGTCAACTAGTCTGGTGATCAGACGTGCCAGTTTTGGACACTTTTCTGCAAATCCATTTTTCGAAAATTTGAAAAGGGAGTAACATCATTGAAAATGTCGAAAAATCGACCCAAAAATAAAAAAAAAGTGAGAACACAGATTTTTAGAGAATCAAACCACAATCATTTGGGGATTTGCTACTTTGAAATCGGATGTCTGTAAGAAAAGTTATGAGCTTAGAAGTGCCGTTTTTAGACACTTTTCTGCAAAGCCATTTTTCAAAAATTTGGAAAGGGAGTAACATCATTGAAAATGACGAAAAATCGACCCAAAAATAAAAAAAAAGTGAGAACACAGATTTTTAGAGAATCAAACCACAATCATTTTGAGGTATGCCACTTTCCTATCGGATGTCTGTAAGAAAAGTTATGAGCTTAGACGTGCCAGTTTTGGACACTTTTCTGCGAAGCCATTTTTCGAAAATTTGGAAAGGGGTGACATGATTGAAAATGACGAAAAATCGACCCAACAATACAAACCAAGATTTAAACTCAGATTTTTAGAGAATTAAACACAACCAATGCTATTGGTATTTTTCCTTGAGAGTCTGATTCTAATATATTTTATTTTTAAGGTTACGTTTCAGTCTAAAATTATAAAACCGAACATAGTGAAAAAGATGTTTTGAATAGCTGCAGGAAAAGTGATTATTTGCCCCTAAGACAAAGGATACCATGAGAATGGGTATCTACTGTCAGAAAGTGTGTCCATTTGAGGGGCTCTCCGAAATGACAAAGCTTAGTCGGATTATGCTTTATGCCCCCTCAAAGGCCCTCAGCCCTTTCCCGGTGCATTTGCTCATCCCGATGCGGATCCTAAATGAATTTTCATTTCCAATTACTTTACAATTTTGCTTTTGTGTGCCTGATGACTTGGATCTGAATCTGGTTGCCTCTCCCGCACTTTGCCTCCCTGCGTCCTTGTCTGCCCCTGGTGGCATTACAATTCGATTTCCTAATTTTCAATTTTACACGTTTGGCAAACACTCGAGCCGAACAGCCCAGATCGAAAACAGGACAAGACCCGAATACCCATACCTAGTCCTCATCCGCATCCGCATCCGCATCCCTATCCAATCGTTCCGCTATCCGTATGCAATGCCAGGCCAGAGACTTTTGAGAAATTTTAATTAAAATTGAATTTTCTTGCATTTAATTAAAAGCTTAGCTGGCGCGCATGAAAAATGAGAGAAGCCAAAGAAAAACTATGCTCGATGAGGATGCGGACGAGGGTGCGGACAAGGATGCGGATGCGGATGTGGATGTAGATGCGGATGTGGCAGGGCACTCGAGCAGAAGTGCATGCACTGGCTGCACCAGAGATATGAGAATCATCATCGTCAGCTGGCTAAGGCATACATATACATGTATCCCATCGCAAAAGGAAATAGAGCTGCAGATATTTTCGTTTGTTTACCGGGACCAAGATCCTGGCCTTCCCGGAACCGGTGCTAAACGCAACACTGACAGCTCCTGTCAAAATAAGCAACTAATCTCTGCCTGCTGCAATATTGTTTGACAAGCGAACACAGACAAACAAGTGGGTCGGCTGCCATTCATCAAACTCCCATTTAAGGCTTGTGCCATTGATTTTCAGTGGAGACAATTGCCCCGAAATTCTGGCCATGGTTTCAGGAACAATAACCATGCCAATTGGATTTTGGGTTGTGGCTGGCTAATTAAGTTTTTCACTTCACCCCCTCCCCTCAAATCCACTGACAAATTGCTACCGAAAATTTGTCTATGCCGCAACATTTTCCACCATTTCCGGCCACCAGAATGCATCACAGTTGCGGACCGGAAGTCGATTCAGTTATATCGCAGGAGGCGGCCATGCGGAATGTTTCGTTCGTCGATTTTTGTCCGGCTTAGCGATAATTTTTAACTGACCGCAATGAGGCAAAACAGGATCTGGATGGAGTGTCCCGAATCATTAGTATGGTGCTCAACTTTTATACCTAGTCGTCAACTGCTGGCTTTAATCGACCGTCAGAAGTCTGTACTAGTACCACACAAGACAGTGTAGTACAAAATTTTACATTTATTCTAAAATATATTTATCTTAAAAATATGCCGTTTTCATAATTTGTAAGACCCACTTTTAAGATTTTCTTAAACGAAGATAGGAATGATTTTGAAACTGCAAATAAATATCATAAATATAAATATACAAGTCTATTTTGAATACTTAGATATTTTTGGTAATGCAAACAGTTATTAATTTCTGCAAGCATTGCAATTAAAAAATCAATTAAATATACGTATAATTTGATTACAAGACAGGGTTTTTTCGTGAAAGTCGTATATGACTTATTAGAAATTCATCTAAAATGGCTCTTTTCGCTTGGCAGTTTTTTCTTTTTTTTTCAAGGAAACCAATCAATGCATTCTTTGTATTCCTTGCTTTGGCAACGTTGAATGCCACGAACAAATTCTGGTGGCGCCAACTGACCAAGCAACCGATCAATGGCTACCCATCCTGCTTCCGGAACGATGCGGCCGAAGCCACATAATTGTTTTAAATTTTTCATAAATTCCCCCGCAAAATGTAGCTCGATAAAAAATTGTGAAAATGTTGCACACAGCCCCCAACCAGCGGCAGTAGGTAAATTTTCAAGTCTCGGCTTTCGAGCGCCACCGAGTCGAGACTCCTCGAGATCCGGTGGCCCAGAGTCGAGATCCGAGGATGGAGGACAGTGGACTGAGGACCGAGGACCGAGGACCGAGGACCGAAAGCGGAGGACCAGGCATAAATAGTTTAATATAAAACGCAGACAAAGGCCTGGAACCGGAGCCCTTGGCTCATCTCGTGCCCGCATAGTTTGGCCAGCTCGGAGCTCATCCTCGTGAAGCGTTTCTTTTGTCTTGCGGCAAGAGGGAAAATATTTAATGCACCCACAATATTTTGCTTGGCTGGCAAGTGATAATGCACCCGCCTCCTCCACAGAAATGGGCTGCCTTGGCCTTTGGCAGGAGCACAAAGGACCAACCAACCAACCAGATAGTCAACCAACCAAAGTGGGCGTGCCGCTAGTCGTCAAAGCAGCCCACCACTGCCGATTCGCTTTTTATATGCATATTCAACAGTGTGGAAGTAATAAAGCCAACTTGCCGACAGTTATAGTTGCTTGTACAGTTGTCTGGAGACAGTCGGTTTGCCGGAAGCAGGAAGCACTCATTGCCGGCCCAGACATTCACGGTGCCGGATGCTAAAGAGGACAAGAGCCGGCGCGATTGGAAAAATGAATCCTTTGACACTTGACTCTCGTCCTGTGCCTCCACTTAATTCACACAATTTATGGCATGATAGCCAAAATTATTTCACATTTTTATCAAGGTTTTTTTACGCTCTATATAGCTCTTTTAAAAATATTTCAAATATTAGGCATTTGCTAGGATCAAGGATTTTGTCCTTTTATTTATAAATTTGATTGATCCTCATACATTTTTGGCTTAAACAAGCAGCTTACAGTACATTTGTTTCTATGAGCTGGTAAACAGGTCGACATTAAAAAGTTTATTTTATGAATATTTAAAAAATTCGATTTGGCATAACATCTGAAATATGCTATGTTAAGTAGAAGGTACAGATCGTCACGACTTTTTTACCTCGTTAAGAGGAGCTTTCTTTAAAAATAAATAGAAGAAAAAAGTATAATTGAATTAATTTTCATATCTTATGGCTATCAGGAAGATATATAAATACAAATTTTAAAAGGAAAGCGTAAAAGTTAAAAACAGAACTAGCGAATTTCTATGTTAAATTATTTTGAACAAAGATGAAGTGAAATATTCTCTGTATTTCTCCCACATGCAGTTATTTGTCACATAACTTGATGTACGGCACTCCGCTGACATAATTAAATTAGCTTTTGCTCCAAAGGCGAATGGAGAACGTTTAGCTAATTTGTCATTCAAAACACGCTTTAATCGAACCCACCGAGTCCATAGTCCTGCCAGCCAGGCAACGAAATTGAAAGTGACATTTATGACACAGACATTGCCGACACGACATCATCATTTCCATCAGCGGCAACATTCCTCTGACGAGAGGCGGTGCAGTTTGCCCTGTGGCACTGATTTGAATTCTGTCAACAATTTCACGACGACGACATCTGCGGAGGTGCAAAGAGGCAGTTGATTGGCCGTCTCATTGCGACGGCAGACAGGAGGCAAATTTAATTGTTGTCAATCCGACATTGCCAAATTGGACCTGCTGACGGCTGTCTCTGTTCGTTCTGCCCAGCATTGTCTTTTGGTTAGCCGCCAGCTAATATCCACATTTTTTGCCAGGATTAATTCTATGCAAGGCCGATCACTCTGCAACAAGTTTTTCAGATTGCAGATCATTTTCTGATTCGAGGAATAAAGAATATATTTAAATTCATCCAAGTGCTTTTATAGGGAAACTTCATTTTTGATTACTTTTCATTTATACTTTTAAGCTAATGAACAACTTGAGTACATCATAAATATCTCTGGTAGATAAGAAACTATAGCCTTAACATGACATTGAGAAATCGGACCTAAAATATTTGTAACTATATGTATGATCATTTTTAATATGTGTAAGACAAGCGCTTAAGATATATGTTTGAGCTCCCCATGTTCTTAATTCTTAAATAATAATATTAATACCACATATTCTTCCACTGCGATTTAGAAGAAAGAGTTTTCCATGTTGCACAGTGCTATGTCTACATAATCAATCATTCTTGTCTAACTTTACCCCTATTCGTTTTCAATGTCATGGCTACAGAAAATTGCTGACATATCCTGCGGCCTAACTCCATGCTCCTGACATTGCCAGCTTCTTTTGCTACTTTTATTTTGTGTACACTCCTAATTTGTGTACGCCTTTTTTTTTTGCTGCGCTTTTCTCTTCTGCATTATTGTGATTTGGGCCATAATTATTTTCCTGCTTCTCTTTGAAATGCACTGGACGTGAATTTCCATTCCGCACTGCCCGATCCCCCAGGATGTGCCGACATTTTGCTTGTCACGCAAATGTTTCGTGTCAGATTTGCCCTCCTCCGACTGCCTTCCTGCAGGAAATATTCATTTTTAACCGCATATATATACATGCCGCTACACAGTTTGCCATATTCTTCACATAAACCATTATATATTTTCAACATTAGTATGTAAGAGCCGTGTTCGTGGAAAACCGCGCTGCACGTCGACGGTCCACTTGCAGGAAGTCTGCCTGCCCACAGCCAACTGACCCATGTAACAACTCATTTCTGCAGCAAAACTTGCCTAGATGCCCATAGTGCCTCAAGATCCATAGATAATGTTACGAAAATCCATAAAAACTGTGCCATTCTCATCTGGCTTTTTGCATGGTGAGAACTTTATACATTTTATTTGATTGTATAGTTCAATATATACTATTTTACTATTTTATTTTAAAGCTGTGAAAACCGTTTAAATTAAATGTTCACTCTCGTGTTTTTTAAACTATTTATGTGCATCAGAATAATAGATCGCCAGAAGTTAAAAAACTAATTTAACGCAAATAAGTATATTAAACCAATTTATTTACTTGCCATTTAAAAGCCTGGAAATAATAAATTTGAAGTGTGTTTTAAAAGCTTTGGTTACACAGTGCACTTCTCGCTGCACGTTCCCTCGGTCGCATGCTATATTTTTCAATTTGTAAACATATCCTGCGGTGTCGGCGATGAAAGCCGGTCTGAAAGGGGCGGCATTAGCCAGCATCCAGCCACTCCCCCGCACCGGCTGAAATGCATTTGCTTCATTTGTTTGGCGTGTATTTCATGTCAACTTAATGTTTATTAGAAAACGTCTACTCAAATTGCAAGGGGCACTGCGCAAGGGAATGCCAAAGGACGAAGGATGAGGACGAAACTCAGGCTGCCGACTGATGTAAGTCCTGGCCAGTGGAGCTCATTCGTCGACCAACGAAGGCCAGAACTCACGGTATTTGTGAACGTTAAATTAAATCCTCTGAGGCAGTGATAGAAATGACATCAGAGTTTATGAGTTTAACATTGCGATGTGTTTTTTGGGTCTTTGGTAAGGTCAAACTACTAAGAAACCAAATTTAAGAAAAAATGCCAAAGCGTTGAAGTCTAGAAATACAAAATAAAAGTATTTTACATTCCTTACACATAAGTATAAATAATATAAAAAGCTGATAAATATGCCCTCAGGGGTCAGAACATAATGATAACGTCAGAAATTACTAACACTCAATTTATAAAAAGCTCTCTTCTTTGTAGAATTGGAATTATCATTTACGTTTGTTACTAAGTTAATTATTTATACTAATGAAAAATAATTATATCATTTGTTAATGACGCTAATAAAAAAAAAGTTAATTAGAGTTATTGCTCATCCCAGAACTGATAATAAAGCAATTCCGAGAACTGATGATAAAGCAATTCCGAGATTAATCAATATTCTCTGAGAACTCACAGACTGTGGGAAACAACTATTGATAAGGCGTTATCAATAACATGTGTACTATTTCTTAGAAATGTAAATTCCTATGACTAGGCTCGCATAAATTTAAAAAGATGCATTGGAAAAATTATTTAAAGTTTACTACTCACAACAACACAATAAAGTTCACTGAAGTCAAACGATCCGACAACGAAATACCACTTAAACAATTTAAATCAATTGATGAAATTTAATACAATAATACTCTAAACGGAAAATTATTTTAAGATAAAATTAAGCAACTGGTAGGTAAATCCTCTAATTGATAAAAAACTTTTTTTAAAATTTGTTCGAATACAAAGTCAATTATAATCTCTTAAAACACTTTTATTTTAAATATATGTATTTTCAATTTAAAGATTTATAAGAAAGAGCTGTCAATAAAAACCTTTTAGCAATTGTCATATAAATGAGTGGTATGAGCGCGATTTACATGTATTATATTTATTTTTATGTAACACATGAGATTATGACGTTACACATTATCAACAAAAGCCCAGCAGTTTTATTAAGCGCAAGTACTCGCAAATACCACTTATTGTTTAGTTCTGCTGAGTCATAAAATTCAATGACTAGTGGTTGCTATTATCATCATGTTGGTGCTAAGAGTGTGTTTATTGACCTTTTCTCTGGAGCTATGGGCCAACCATTAGACGATAGTCACGACGACTATTATGATCCAATGATATTGCAGAGGACCCCAAAGTAGTCACTTCAAACATAAAAACTTTTTTCCAAATTACATGGTGCGGCTTGCACGCAGATAGGACTTGTGTAAAGCGATCAGAATGCCCAACGACCATGCGCAATGGTTTAAAGCTAATCGTGGACCTGAATGAACCGCAGACAAGTGGCTGTCACTATCTGCAATCCGGATAATTTGGCGGGTTTGATGATTGCATAGACTTTTCAGCTCAATATCATTGAACTTTGGTGTTTTTTTAGCTTAGACCAATGAATGTATCCAAAATCAAATCCTACATTTTTTTTTTTTTTTTTTTTTTTGCGGAGTCCCACGGCCTACTTAGTCGCCTAACCGACCGAGGGGCGCAGCCGTGTATCGTACGGCACGATTCGCGATAAGATAGACGCGAGATAGGAAAATAAAGGTAACGGTCCGGGGAAAAAAGTAATAGTTAGATCAATCTTGTGCCAATGAAGCAAGTATCAATCGTTTTAGGAGCGTCAGAGAGTCAAGATTTGATATTACAGGAAAAAGTCTATTATAGTCAGAACATAATACTCTGAAAGGCTCATGCAAGGCATAGTTAGATCTACAATGATTTAAAATTAGGGGAATATAATTTCTAGTTAATCTACTTGGCACAGAAAAGTTTAGCCGACTTAACAAGTCGGGGCAGTCAATATCACCATGTATAAGGTTATAAATAAAGATAGTACCAAGCATCGTTCTACGGTTGGCTAGGGGTGGTAAATTAATCAAAAGAAGTCTACTAGAATAAGAAGGTAAGAAAAGATTTGCATCCCAGTTTAGGCGCCGTAAAGCAAGAAGAAGGAAGTTTTTTTGTACAGATTCAATACGACCAATATGTATTTCGTATTGTGGACTCCAGACGGGAGACCCATACTCCAGAATTGGACGGACTAGCGAAATAAATAAAGTTTTAGTCAAATAAGGATCATCGTTTATACCAAAGGAGCTCCTCCAGTTTGTCCCACCGAGAGCAGCAGGAGCTACGTAGTGGGCCTCTGGAGCACCAGCTTCAATGGAGACAATCTGTTTAAGGACGTTCAAGGAATGGATAAGTCAGGCACTTCAGCCATACAACATTGTCCTGTGACGTTGGTTGTCTCAAAAGCTTTGTTTGGAATAGTTACGGCCTAAATTGTTTCTTGTGAAATTCTTTACTAAAAAAAAATGAATTGATTTCTTATGCCACCCAACCACTCCCTTTCGCAGGTAACTCCGAATTAGTTATATATATTTGAACCCATGTTACTTGAATATTGAGGAAATACTCCTTTTGGCCGGAGAATGAAACACAAGGAAATTATTTCAATTATAGAACAATATATTTAATATGTATAATACATATATAACTGAACAGTGTACATAATTGATTGTTCTGCATACATATATGCTTCGAAATCGAATAAAAAACTTGAATGGAAATAAATCTTCTATGAAGCGTTTTAATCTTTCAAAGACATTCGTCTCCGCACTCTTCGCCGTGGCAGACGTCGCACAGGGAGGACTCCACGTTGTAGTACTCGGTGGCGATGCGCTCCTTTTGGTAATAGTCGTAGAGGATGACATACGACGGCCTCAGGTTGGCCACCGGGTGGTTGAGGATCGCCTTAACGGTCATGCACTTGCGGACATTGGGCAACAGACGATCGAAATAGATGTCAATCTGGGTGTCCGCTTTCAATGACTCCACGCGCTTCACATCAGCGATGGCCTTGATATTTGCGAAGGACTCTGGATCGCTCACATAGCCGGATGGCAATTTGATCTGCATTACCGCCATGTTGGTAGGCTTGCCCTTGTCGGAATCTTCAACTGGAGTATACTCGCCGCAAATGTCCAAAACGATACGTTGTTTGTCCGATTTCTTAGCTATTGTTGTTAACTTGAAGCTGGGTTCCTTCTCCTTGGTGGCCACGTTGAAGCGGTACTGTATCTGGAATTGAACGCGACCATTTCCTGAGGCCGAATACTTAACATCCCGAGTGTCATCCGGAAGCGGGATATTCTTTGTGTTCCAATTTGAGTCGTCCGTGATGACTATGGTTTTCTTGGGCGGGGTATCGATTCGAAAATTGACGTTCGTCGGTTTTTCGCTTTGGATCCCGTACTTGGTCAGGGCCATGAGGGCGACTACTGTGTCCTGGGACGAGGCGAAGCCACCGTTGCTGTTTCGCTTGCTGATCAGCCAATTGACAATCTGATCCGTTGAATCCATCGATTCTTTCTCCAAAAGGGCGAGCAGCACATAGGCAGTGGTCTCGACGTCGTTGCTGACGCTGTTGTCCGACCTGGTCCACCACTTGCGATCTCCACTTTTATTGGCCATGCTTTCCAACGAGATCAGGACCTGTTCGGCCTTGCTATTTTTGGCCAGCTGGAGCGCCAAAGCGGCGATGGCCAGATCGTATGGATCATTTGTCTGGTCCACCTTCTGGGCCACAAATTGAACGGCTTTGTCAATCAATTTCTGGTATCGGTTCATGTATTCCTGTGGGTAAGTCAAAATGTTGGGTCAAATCAAGAAGACAGTATTATGTATTATTGAACTTTCAGAAAGATTTAACTATTTAAATCGGAATATATATACTTTTTATACCCTTGCAGAGGGTATTATAATTTTGGTCAAAAGTGTGCAACGCAGTGAAGGAGACATCTCCGACCCTATAAAGTATATATATTCTTGATCAGAATCACCTCCTGAGTTGATATAGCCATGTCCGTCTGTCCGTCTGTCCGTCTGTCTGTCCGTCTGTCTGTTTCTACGCGAACTAGTCTCTCAGTTTTAAAGATATCGAATTGAAACTTTGCACACACCCTTCTTTCCTTTGCACGCAGTATATAAGTCGGAACGGCCGGGATCGGCCGACTATATCCTATAGCTGCCATATAACTGATTGATCGGAAATGCCATAACTCTGCTGTTTGTTAATTTAGGAAGTTGGGACTTTCTATGGGTTTTATATTTGGCCAATCAATCCGACGTACCAAATTTCATAAGGATCGGCCGACTATATCCTATAGCTGCTATATAACTGATTGATCGGAAATGCCATTACTTTGGTGTTTGTAAAGTTAGGAAGTTGGGATTTTCTATGGGTTTTATATTTGGCCAATTAATCCGACCTTCCAAATTTCATAAGGATCGGCCGACTATATCTTATAGCTGCCATATAACTGATTGATCGGAAATGCCATAACTTTGGTGTTTGTTAAGTTAGAAAGTTGGGATTTTCTATGGGTTTTATTTTTGCCCAATCAATCCGACATATCAAATTTCATATGGATCGGCCGACTATATCCTGTAACTGCCATATAACTGAACGATTGGAAATGCCATAACTTTGGTGTTTTTAAAGTTAGGAAGTTGGGATTTTTTATGAGTATTAAGAATGCATCATATGAATAATTTTGGAGAATATAATTTTCAGAATATTCTGCAAAGGTATTTCAACTTCGGCTCCGCCCGAAGTTAGCTTTCCTTTCTTGTTATTTACTGAAATTGTAATACCTCTACAAGGGTATAACAAACTACGAATTTACTGCATGAATACGAAAGCTAATACCAAATAAATATTAGTTAATATTTAAAATAAATATTAATATTATGCAACACAACCTTAATTATACATTTATTTTATATTCTCACCAAACAACTATATTATTGCATGGTATCACTATTTATATGTTGTCAAGCTGGCTATGCCAATATGAAGAGCTCACCTTGTTCTCGAAGAAGGCCAACAGGACGAATGAAGTAAGTGCTAAGGGGCTGCCATGGCTATTGTTATTGACCCTTCCCCGCTCCGGGAACTCGCCACTAGCAACCTGCCGGGACTCCAGAAAGTCGAGGCCTCTTGACATAACGTAGTCGTCAATATACACGAACTTTTGTGCCTGGTGGAAGGAACGCAGCACATATGCTGTTAGCCAAGTGCTTCCCGCAGGATCACTCTGGCCAAAGGCGCTGAAGGACCAGTCGTCTCGCTTGTAGGTCAGTTCTCTCTGGTAGCCAGTCTCCAAATATGTCTTAGCTTGGGCCGATAACGCGGGATTTTTGTTTTTGCGGTTCTCCAAGTAGCCCAACACCAGGACATTGGGCACGAAGTTCATCATGTTCTGCTCCCCGCAGCCGTATGGCGCCCGAACCAGGCCATTGAGGTTATCAAGCTGTGGCGCCTGGATGGTCTTGGCCACTGCCGCACCTACGACCATTGTACCTGGTACAATCTCTTCGGGTTGCTCCACCGTTATCGTCCGTTGTGGCATAAACATTGTGTGACGACGATGCAACCGTTGAACGTTAATCAATACAGCTTTGTTGACGTACTTTGTTACGCCATCGGCCTTTACCTTAAGTCTTTCATGAATAGTGTCGCCGGCATTTGGCGCGAGTGCGGTGATCTTCAGAGTGATCAGACCTATTTTCTTGGGCCGGATCATGAACGATATGCTGCGTCCGGTGTTGGCGGGTATATAAAGCGACTTCTCCCTTCGCAGGTGCAGAAGCTCCTTGGTCACATTCGCACTGGTGGCCTCAACAAACTCGTACTCCCTGTCAGAGTTATCCATCGATACAGTGGCCCGGACAGGTCCACCCAGGTAGTTGAACACCAGCACGGGAATGGCTACCACTTCATTCCGCTTCACTGAGTAGGGGAGGTTGGTGGTTGCAAAGAACGGTTGGAACACACGAACAAAGGTTGGGTCCCTCGTCACGGCAAGGCCCGTCTTGGCGTTCAAAGAGAAGCCACTGATCACCCAGGAGGTCATCGTATCCGGCATCGTTTTGGGCACATAAATTTCACCATTGTCACCCACGCTATTGAATTTTGTTAATATTGGTTGGGCAATGCAAAGTACGGCCACTTACTCTGATATATCATCAAAAAACCAGGTTTCAGGGAACAGCTTACGAATCGCTGGAGGTGTACCTTGCGTTTTGGTTGATCCAACGGCAGTAGGAGCTGAGTTCTTTTCTGGAATTTATTAATATTTTATTGCAGTATATAAATACCATGAAACAAGTGGGAAATAGCTTACCTGGTCCCGATTTAATACCTGAGCTTCGACTGGGAGGGAAGGCATAACATTTCTTCAGGTCATCTGAGAAATTAAGATATTAAGTAGGGTAATCATTGTTCAATTCATATAATCATTTCTTACCAGGATTAGTATAACAGCCACCTGTAAGGGGTAATAACGTTTAGAAAGAGCGATTCATATTAATTATGTTACTCACCGCTCTCTTTATCGATGTAAATATTTGCATTGGTTATGGTCACCACATCGGTCGAGTATTTGAGGAGATTGTTCAATATTTGGTTCCGGTCGAGGTCGTTGCCAGATCTAAGAAGCAGTACACTCTGGTCCACTCCAAGAAGACCAACGAAGGAATTGGGGTCGGTCTTAACCCTGAGGCTCACATTCTGCTTGGGCTCGGTTTCTTCCGGTGCTGTAATTTCAATCTGTGCGGGAGGTAAAAAGAATGGATTAGAAACGTATTTCGATCAATATTGCAGTGCCCTACCGTGTTGCCAAAGTCCTTTTCGATGTCGACAGTTTTCTCGGCGGTATGCAACTCTCCATTAACAACATATTGGACAATAATGGTGGCTTGGGGCACCATGTCGAAAGAGGGCAAAAATGTTAAATTCCTACTAAATTGTCCTTCTTCCACTTGTATATATCGGTTAATGATGATGTTACCCCGTGCGACTATCGCCAACATGAAATAGGGAAGATAGTTATCGGAGACAACATTGATTGTTAGCGGCTGCCTTAGTTTGGGTCTGTGAAGTGAAAGATATTATAGTATTATACCAGAAAATGGCACCTCTGATGATACTCACTTGTTAGTAATAACCTCGATCTTAAGTGATTTCTCCAGCTTATATGTATATTGCTTGAAATCGGCAGCGTTCTCCAATTTAGCAGTAATAAGGCAACTTTTGCATGTATTATCGGGAAAGATAAATGTGTGGCTGGCGATACTTTTCGGAAAGGTAGATTCTTTTGTCCTATTATTCTGACAGCACAACACGTCAAGCATAACTTTCATTGGCGAGTTTAAAACAGGAGAACCGTCCAAATTCCTGACTACAGTGCGAATGGTATAATTTTTTCCTGGAATGTAGGTAGTAGGCCAAAGGTATTCCTCCAGCTGGTAGCGATGCTCATGGAGATTTACTTGGGCGGTGCCGTTGTGCTTCAGGTCCGTCAGCTCCTCCGTAACAGTGGCAATAATTTTCAGAGGACTTTTCGCAGTGGCCGCAAAGGGGAACTCCACGTTCACCGCTCCATCGATCGGCAGGGTCCTCTCAGTCCCACTGCCCTCCAACGAGACGACGAGTGTGCCCTTCACAGGCTTTTTAAAGGTGTACGTGGCCTTTATCGTAGCCGTAATTTTCCCAGCTCTATTCACAATGTTCCTGGGGGTAATTACCTTAACCTCGAACTTCGGCATCACATACGTGTCCACCACGAACGACTTTGACTGCTGGCCCCTGTCCTGGACTTTAACTGTCATCGTCCAGTTTCCGAGCACCGGCTGATCGGATAGCTGCAGTTTTTCGGTGAAAACGCCATTGGTCGGCTTGACATTCTCCCACTTTTTGATCATGTTATTGGCTCCGTCGTGGATCTCAATTGTAATTGGCTTGTCGATCGTGGCAGGTTGGGTACGCCTATTCAGGAAGAGGACTCTGAACTGCACAGCATCGCTGGGCTTGTAGGTGGCCTTGTCCGTCTGGATGTAGATCCAGTCCTTGTCGTCGGCGAATTGCAGACTTTCGGATTTCTGGAACACTATACCCCCTACACCCTGGGCTATTAGCTGGTAATCACCATTGGTGATCTTCGGGATATCGAAGGCAACGTTTTGCGAGGTCATGGGTGGAACCACCAAACTCTTTTTTACATCAAATGAGGGTCCTTTAATGCTGAGTGTCATATAAGTAGGACCATGTGCGCTGTGCACGGTAACGGCCACGTTGAAAGGACTGTTGGGTCGAATGTTCTTTGCCGCCACAATGGAATAAATACTGAAAAATAAATAAATAACATCGCTCATATTTAAGGGGGTATATACCTTTTTTTGTCGAAAAAAATAGGAAAGTTTGGATTTTTTTATGTATGTAACTATTGTTTTTATTAAATGAATGATTATATTTTCTGAAAGTTTAGATTGTTGACAATGTTTATGCAAAAAATTTTGAAAAAATATTTAATAGTTTTTAAGGTGTGGGTGTTTCCCTTAAACGCCTTTTTTTTAAAGAGCCTTGCGGTGATAATTCCCCAGCACGAAAGGGTAAACTGATACCGAAAAAATAAAAATATTTCATTAGTTTAAAGTAGTAACCTGTACTTGAACGAACGTTTTAAAAAAAAATTTTTTTTTTGTGCAAATGACGTTTTTGGACGCAAAAATTCTTACAAAACTATTTATTTCGGCGAAATAAAAATTTTTACATGACAAAACGATCGTTCAAGTACTAATAAAATTCATTACGAACATTTAAAAAAAAATTTGAAGAAAATCGGTTCAGTAGTTTTTCGCCAATCCATATCACCCCAAAGTCATTTTTAAAAAAACCATTTCGAGATATTCGCGTTTAAAGTTTCAAGTTTGGGTTTGGGAGGGGACGAGGCGCGCGGCTAGGAGCGCTCTAACTTTTTTTTTACAGCTCAAATCTCTATGAAAATTTTGGGAAATATTCTTAAGAAGTTGTTCTTTAAGATAAAGCAAAAAAAAAATTTCGATTTTTTGAAAATGAAAAAGGTAATCAAAATCCAAATGTGTCTGTATTTTTAATTTATCTGGTTAAATATTAGATTTTGGAATCTATTAAGTGTATGCCAAGAATATTTTCCTGGCCTTAAATTAAGCTTACTTTTGTAATTTTATAAAATTTAAACCTTCTTTGAGGGGATAATACTCAGTCTCTAAGCTGTAAGTAGTATCATGTTATTATAGTTGTAAGTATTATTGAGCAGTGAAATACGTATCATATACAAATTTAAATTGCTCTAATAATTTATTCTTTTTATTTGCAACTCGAATTCCGAGGAAAAAATTTCTGATAACGACGTATAAGTAAGGCAAATATGATGAAGAACTAAAGCTGTGTTTTAAATTTAATTACTGATTGCTGAGCGAACTTTCGTTATCGGGCGACACGTCTTCGGGTTATCATTTTAATTATACTGTTATGACAATTCTATTTTTCTGGTGGAAAACCCAGTTTATGTATTTTTAAGCCTTATGATTTTTAAGATAAAATATTACTTTAAAAATGTTGTAAGTCCTCGAAGTCAAAAAACAACTTGCAAAGGGATCATATCAATTAAAATGTGTTATCATTGATTTAAGTTGTGAAAAAGACACTAATTTGTGTTTATTTTAATTAAACCGTACTTGAGTATCTAATTAAAGGAGAGCACTGCATCTGTTTAGCAGTTTCATCTGAGAAACACAAACCTTTATTTTTTAAGATATATGTTAAAATTGTACACTTACTTTTCGGCATTAATTGACAACACATAGTGCAGCAAAATTGAAATCAAAATTAACCGCATGTTGCAATCTTTTAATTTTTATATTTTTCCACCAGAAGAGCACTTTAGTTTTTCGACCGTTTAATTTAAAGCGACAGAAGGCACTGAGCTTATTGAGCTTGGGGTAGACTTCTATTTATATCGCTTCTTTGACTTGCCTCGCACGGGGAATAAGTACAAGTATTATATGTCTTATCAGTTCTGGGTAATTCCAGACCTTTAACCTGAGTTCTGAAAATCTTTTTAGTGACCAAAATATAGATTAATGGAAAAAAAAACAACAAGAGAACTCTGTGCAATGCTGTTTCTTGCTGTTGTACATACGCAAGCCTTGCCTATAACCGCATGTGGAGGAATTAACGCCAAGGCATCAAGTCGCATCCAGGACACCCAGGACTTCCGGCCCCCCAGATGGGCTCCCCCCAGGCATTTCAAATTTTTTATTCTCTTGCTTGGGTCCACAAATGTTTGTACATTAGCAACATTTGTGCAAATGCTTGGGTGACGACGCAGGTGCTGATTATATTGAAAATTATTAGTGAAACATTGCAGCATCAGGCTCCCGTGGATTTGGAGGGGTCAGTAGGCGTGGGCGTGGGCGTGGGCTGAAGTGGGCTGGAAGGTCGGACTTCCTCTGCTTTGCGCTGCATGTGGGCTATAAAAATTGATTGCATTCTTTGCGGCACACCAAGTGTGCGCTGACTGTGTGCGGATGTCTATGGCTGCGTGAGCACTAGTCAAATAAATGGGTGTAGATGTTTAAGAGTTAAGAGAATGGTTGCTTTAAAATAAATTTTTATTTTCTTTATTTAATTTACTAAATTGATTATTATCTAACTGCGATTGCGAATTGCAACTTTAACAATACTGCAATAACTTTAACTTATACTTTAGTGTGATAAGATTTAATACGGGATTGACAAAACTTTGTTTTACTAACAACATTATGAAAGTAAAATAATGTCAACATTTGATACAATCTGCATTATTTTTTCAAAGATTATTATGTAAAAAGCGGTTAAAAACAAGAAAGGAAAGCTAACTTCGGGCGGAGCCGAAGTTGATATACCCTTGCAGAATACTCTATAATTATATTCTCCAAAATTATTCCTATGATGCATTCTTAATACTCCTAAAAAATCCAAACTTCCTAACTTTAAAAACACCAAAGTTATGGCATTTCGAATCGATCAGTTATATGGCAGCTATAGGATATAGTCGGCCGATCCTTATGAAATTTAGTAGGTTGGATTGACTGGCCAAATATAAAGCCCATAGAAAATCCCAACTTCCTAACTTTATAAACACGAAAGTTATGGCATTTCCGATCAATCTGTTATATGGCAGCTATAGGATATAGTCGACCGATCCCGGCCGTTCCGACTTATATACTGCGTGCAAAGGAAAGAAGGCTGTGTGCAAAGTTTCAACTCGATAGCTTTAAAACTGAGAGACTAGTTTGCGTAGAAACAGACAGACGGACAGACGGACAGACAGACGGACAGACGGACATGGCTATATCAACTCAGGAGGTGATCCTGATCAAGAATATATATACTTTATAGGGTCGGAGATGCCTCCTTCACTGCGTTGCACACTTTTGACCAAAATTATAATACCCTCTGCCGGGATCGGCCGACTATATCCTATAGCTGCCATATAACTGATTGATCGGAAATGCCATAACTCTGCTGTTTGTTAAGCTAGGAAGTTGGGACTTTCTATGGGTTTTATATTTGGCCAATCAATCCGACGTACCAAATTTCATAAAGATCGGCCGACTATATCCTATAGCTGCTATATAACTGATTGATCGGAAATGCCATAACTTTGGTGTTTGTAAAGTTAGGAAGTTGGGATTTTCTATGGGTTTTGTATTTGGCTAATTAATCCGACCTACCAAATTTCATAAGGATCGGCCGACTATATCTTATAGCTGCCATATAACTGATTGATCGGAAATGCCATAACTTTAATGTTTGTTAAGTTAGGGAGTTGGTATTTTCTATGGGTTTTATTTTTGCCCAATCAATCCGACATATCAAATTTCATAAGGATCGGCCGACTATAATCTATAACTGCCGTATAACTGAACGATTGGAAATGCCATAACTTTGGTGTTTTTAAAGTTAGGAAGTTTTTTATGAGTATTAAGAATGCATCAAATGAATAATTTTGGAGAATATAATTTGCAGAATATTCTGCAAGGGTATTTTAACTTCGGCTCCGCCCGAATTTAGCTTTCCTTTCTTGTTTTAAGTATTTTTAACGAATTTATTTAGATTTTCTAAGTTATTGCGTTGCATTTTGCGAGAGCCTGTCGAGAGAGCGAAACACAGAGAGCGGATGCCAAGAGAGCGACGGCCGAGAGAGCAACAGCCAAGAAAACTGATGAGGGGGAGGGGTAGTGCTGCAGGAAAGGGGAGGGGAAAGAGGCAATTTAAGTTAAATTTGTTTAGGATTTTAAAAACTTAAACTGCTGCTCCGATCAATATGATTTTCGATCAATAGTCAGTCCTGTGGATCAAATGCTTAGGTTTTATTTTTCATTTTGTAGCAGAAGTAAGAGCCTTATTTAATTTCCACCATGGAAGAAAATAGAAAATTACTACAAATTCTGTAAGCAAAGCCAAAATGTTTCCAAGTTAAATATTAATCTTAAGATTCGAACTTTTGACCAAATACGTATGTACATATGTATATTTGGAAATGTTTTGATTTGCTTATATGTACAATACATGTACATACATACAATGTGTGTATATGTTTCTATTCGAAAGTAGATAATGTGCTTAAATACAAATAAAATGATTTATTATACCCGTTTATCGATCAAATGTGGAATCTGAAAATAATACGTTACTTTGCTGTTTTTGTATTGGATGCCAATCTTTTACTGTGTGTACAAAGGTTTTCGTTTCATTCAAAACAAGAAATTTGAAAACAACAAATTCCAATTTACAAACAAGTATACATATTTGTGCGCAAATTAAAATTGCATTGATAACATTGGAACTGATAAAAAGTATACAAGCTCACGACTTTTACTTGGATCACTTTCATCCCTAAAGATTATAAAATGAAAGACCAATTTTTAAGGGGATACGGCCACAGCCCAAACCGTAAGAGCAAGAGCAGCCAAATTTTTTCACAGTATTCCATTGGGGGCGTGGGCGCCCACTAAGATCCGATATGTCCCCCCAGTGGCCCCAAACAGCTCCAACATCCATTATTCTGAGCAAAAAAAAGTTGATGTATTTAAGCTTAACTTCTAAAGTGGTTGGAATTTCGATATTTGGTTTTTTCCGAATTTTAGGTTTTGAAAAGGCCTAATTAGAAATCTAAAAGAAATTTCGATATCCCCCATAATTTGGGGGCTACATTTAAAATTAACTTTTCGATTTAAAAAATCTAAACCGCTGCTCCGATCAAGATGATTTTTCGCTCAATAGTTATTCTATGGCCCAAATGCTTAAGTTTAATTTTTCAAGTTTTTAACATTTTTTTAAGTATTTTTAACGAATTTATTTAGATTTTCTAAGTTATTGCGTTGCATTTTGCGAGAGCCTGTCGAGAGAGCGAAACCCAGAGAGCGGATGCCAAGAGAGCTCGGCCGAGAGAGCAACAGCCAAGAAAACTGATGAGGGGGAGGGGTAGTGCTGCAGGAAAGGGGAGGGGAAAGAGGCAATTTAAGTTAAATTTGTTTAGGATTTTAAAAACTTAAACTGCTGCTCCGATCAATATGATTTTCGATCAATAGTCAGTCCTGTGGATCAAATGCTTAGGATTTATTTTTCATTTTGTAGCAGAAGTAAGAGCCTTATTTAATTTCCACCATGGAAGAAAATAGAAAATTACTACAAATTCTGTAAGCAAAGCCAAAATGTTTCCAAGTTAAATATTAATCTTAAGATTCGAACTTTTGACCAAATACGTATGTACATATGTATATTTGGAAATGTTTTGATTTGCTTATATGTACAATACATGTACATACATACAATGTGTGTGTATGTTTCTATTCGAAAGTAGATAATGTGCTTAAATACAAATAAAATGATTTATTATACCCGTTTATCGATCAAATGTGGAATCTGAAAATAATACGTTACTTTGCTGTTTTTGTGTTGGATGCCAATCTTTTACTGTGTGTACAAAGGTTTTCGTTTCATTCAAAACAAGAAATTTGAAAACAACAAATTCCAATTTACAAACAAGTATACATATTTGTGCGCAAATTAAAATTGCATTGATAACATTGTAACTGATAAAAAGTATTCTAGCTCACGACTTTTACTTGGATCACTTTCATTTATTATATAGCTCTGCCAGTATCCTTCTGATTCTCTCTCTTGAAGGATCTTCTACAAAGGTTGTTTACACAAAGGTTTTCAAAAAACGCGCAAATAAGAAATAAGAAAGTCCTGACAACCCAATTTCCTAACTCCAAACTAATATTAAGCGAACGAGCAAAAAGTCGTATACAATACAATTTTACAAAGCGTTGGGGCTGAGATGGGTGAAATATTTTTTTTGGATGCACCTGGAGGGACAGCTAAAACCTTCTTGACAAACTTATTGTTGGCAAAAGTTCGAAGTTCAAAAAAAATAGCCCTAGCTGTAGCATCTTCCGGTATAGCTGCTACCCTGCTCAATGGAGGTCGAACTGCTCATTCTACATTTAAACTTCCTTTGGATTTAGTTAATTTAGAAACACCTCATTGCTCTATTTCAAAGCAATGTAATATGGCTGCGGTGTTTAAAGATTGTAAGTTAATTGTTTGGGATGAGTGCACAATGTCACATAAAGTTGGGCTTGAAGCCATAAATAGAACCCTGCAAGATATTAATGAGAATACTATGTTGATGGGTGGTATTACAGTCCTGCTAGCTGGAGACTTTCGCCAAACCCTTCCTGTTGTGCCAAGAGGTACAAGAGCTGACGAAATAAAGGCCTGTTTAAAATCTTCATTTTTATGGCCACAGATAAAAAAACTAGCGCTCAAGAAAAATATGCGAGTGCACTTAAAAGGAGACAGTTCTGCAGGAATTTTTGCCGAAACTCTT